AAGACAATTTATAAAATTAGAGTGCACTCAAATATATTTGGCCAAATTGAATTATAATATCCTCTTTATGATTATTAGATTTATAATTGTATGACTGGACAAAACCTTTGGAATAGTCAATTAACAGAGATCTCTTGAGATTAGAATCAGAAGGAACAAAAGTGCTTTTATACCTGTAAATATAAAAAGAGCATTTTGAAGTTGTCCCCCCCTTTTTAAATTTTTTACCATAAACCTATAATTATTATTAGCCCTGGGTATCTTCCCCTCTGTCAACTGCATGTTGCAGGGCAGTTTGCAGTGGCAACAGAGACCGAGAATTGACAGACAAAGGTCTGGGTCCTGGGGGATGTTTGATCATGGCTATAAGAGGGTCAGTTTTCTTTATTATTAATCTTGGAGCTGCAACCGGTGGGGGATCAAGACCAGCAATTATACTAGGAACTATTCCTCCCTCGCCCTGAGCCTTCTGGCCCTCCTCTTCCACCTTTAAGCCTGTCTGCCACTGCTGGCAAAGAAACTCCAATGTCTTTTCTAACCTAGTAATCTTTTCGGTCACGTCCTCATTTGCTGGTTGGCTGGATTTTCCGGTTTTCCTGGCCACGGCTACGATAGGGAGGGAGGGCCAGTCGTCATTGTTATATCTAGCAGCCTCTTCTTCCAAATCATCAGCATCTCCCGGATCTAAGGGACCCTCATCTGGAAGAAGACCCTTCCTTAATGCAGGCTCTGCGTCAGCATACACTGGCGGAGCAGATGGCTCAGTTTCACTTTCTATAGGAGACGGAGGGACAAGCTCAGGAACACCAGCCTTGTCAGGCTCCTCTGAGGAAGGACTTGAGGAGGGTCCTTCAACCCTCTCTCTCTCTCATGCCGAGGATCCAAACTATCTCTAATTAAAGCCCATAAACTAAAAGCATCGATAGGGACTTTAGTGGGTCCACGACCATCGTAATAGTCCTGAAGTCGCTTTCCCACCTTATTCCATACTTCTAAATCTACTGTGCTTTCTTCAGGGAACCAAGGACAAACTTTTTCTACAGATTCTAAAAAATTACATAATTGTTGATGCCCTACCTTTGCTCCACGAGACAGAAGCATATTTTTAAGCATATGTACAAAAAGCAGCCGGCTATTACCAATTCCCATCTTGTTACTCCCGAGTGTATTCACCGCCCTTAATTTACTTATCCGAGCTCACGATCCGCGGTGTCCTTCACTTGATTCCCCCGTATTCATGTCCCTGTTCGGGCGCCACCCATGACGGAGCCCGCTGTCACCTGTCGAACAGTACCTGAATGGGGGAGTGAGGATGAAGAAAAATAAAGACAAAGAGATAGAGTCGGGAGGGCTCCCAGAGACCGAGCACCCAAGTTTATTTTTCACCTTTCTTTTATA